AATTGCTATTACTGACGCAACAAAAAATCGCTCCTCGAAGATATTTGATAATTAAATTCTTAATATAGATATTATTATAAAGCACATTCAACTTGTTAATGATCAAAGATATATATAATTTACAAAATTAATCATAACGTTAATGGAAACAATATATGCGAATAGCAGTATAACTGCTATTAACGCTTTAATAAACAAATCATTCATCGGGGATATTTCATAGTTAAATTCCTAATGATAATGACAGTACCATAAAGATCATTCAACATGTTAATGCTTGATGATGATGTTTTAATGAAATTTATAAAATTGATTATAACACTAATAAGAAAATGTACAAATAGTAGTAATATTGTTTAATGAGATAATAAAAAATCGTCCTTTGAAAATATTTGATAGATAAATTCCCAGTGAAATCGATGTCGTCATAAAGCGTATTCAATTTGTTAAGATTTCTTGCCGCGGAACTCTAATCACATGTCCAAAATTCTTGCGGAATATGCTGAAATAAAAGGATATGTCCGTGAAGTGACACTAAGATCGATTGAGCATATTTATAAAATATCCCGGAAACTTTCCTTTTGTTATAACAATCAATAAATAACTATAATTTTAAAAATAACTATGAATAAAATTAACGTGATATGCAACTTCTTTTTTTGCTACTATTAAACCTACTATTAAACTATTAAACCTACTATTAAACTATTAATAAAAAAAAATATGCATACGTAACTGTAGAACTGCGCTTTAGTGACGCAATAAAAGATCGTTCCTCGAGGATGCTTGACGACAATGAAATTGACATCTGCGTTATCGTGCGAGCGCGTGTCAATACAGACAATCCTTAACTACCTAATAGCGCATAGATATGTTTACTTAAGCAAAGTCTCCACGCAGGAAATCTATACAATACCGTCGATATCGTGTCGACGTTGGCACGTCAATATTGGCCGAGCCTTTCCTCGCGCGAACTTCGCTCGAGTGACACACACATGCGAACGGCTCTGTTCATTTTTTTCACGACAGAAAGGCCAATCGACCGTGTCGAAGAGTCGGTGAGCGTTCGAGCGACCCTCGAGCGCCCGCCACGTGACAAACCTCAGAGCTCTTAACATACCACTTTCCAGCCACATTGCAGGGGTTCCAGAACGCTCGCAGGCCGCGAGAGGAGCATCGCAGAGAGTAACATCGATCGCCATTCGCGAGATATCTCGGAAAGAGAGCGCGAGAGACGTGCAATTTTTCCAGATGATGGGGTGCTTGTAGAAAGAAAGAGTGAGAGGGAGAGAGAGAGAGAGCGTCGAGTAAACGAACATTCTCGTCTTTGTTCTCGTTTAGCAAGCGGCCGACGGGGCGGCAAGAGCGGCGGGCACGGTTTACCGTGTCGTGGCCGGTACACAGAGCCTCGGGCTCGGGCTAAGCGCCTCGCGCGATGTGGGCCCGGCGCAGGCCGCCCCCGCTGCTGCTAATCCCGCCGGCGGTACTGGCGGCACCCCGACGACCGGCGCACCCTCGACAGCCGCCCCAGGAGCCGGCATTCTACCACCGGTACGCCAAATCCTTCCGACACCTAAGTGTCCGCCGACGGGGATGCGGCGACTGCGCTTCTTCGCCCGGGCTTCTTCGATAAACGGGACGTTCACGAGTACGACTCACGGTATCCACATGTTCGCTAGGCCTACCAGGCCTACCATACCCAGAAAAGTGTCGCTTAATTAATGACTAAGTATTCGGTGTCACCTGTGCTCGGTCGTACGTGTTGATTTACTAGACCATAACTACTGGAAGCTGTTGGACGAAGAACATATCATGATTTTCTCTCTTTTTCTGTTTTTCGTAGGAAATTCTTTTCAATTTTATTAGGTTTTCTGGTAGCGCTGGAATAGGTTATCAGTGGTATTTATCTTGCTAAGAAGAGAATGTGGTAAATATTTGAAAACTAGACTTTAATTGCTACGATATATAAATAACGTGTATAAGCAGCAAGATTAAAATAAGAAATTAAACCAGGAAGTCGATTCTATTTTGTCACTAAATTCTAATTTTTAATATTTTTAATATTTTTATGACTTTTGTGTAATTTATAGTTTTTATAATTTTTGTAATTTTGGGTAATTATATGAAATAGTTACACTTCTCGGATTTCTTTGATTTTAAGATATATTATGAAGAGTGACATCTTGAGTTTATCTGTATTTTAAATCATACTCGAATCACGTGTAACTTCTGAGATGTATCACTTTAAAATATCGGAATTTTATATTGAAATATATTCACAATAAACGCGCGATTTCCGTTGTAATACTAATTTAAACTAATTTATCACGCGATATTCTCCTTTGTTTACAATTTTTGCTTAAGTGTTTTAGTCTTTTAAAATATGTTATACTATTAATGTTTGATTTGACGTATTCTTTGTTTAGTAACTAGACGTAACTAGTTAAATTATTGAACTAGTTTTCTACGTATAGTAGAAAGCTAGTAAATATTTTATATAAGTAACGTGTCGTAGATTTTTTGGGTTAGCTTCTGCCGAGATGTTGGTAGTGTTAATGTTTTTGTTTTGTACTTTTACCGTCTTCAAACTTACTATAGAGAGTGTATTATTTTCATAAAGCACTAAGTTAAATTTTTACAATCTTTGTCTTGTTAATTTATAACATTGTTAAATAGTTCTTGAAATCTTTTGTCTTTCTAAATTGATGAATCTATCACATATTAAAAGCGAAGATTCTGTAAAGATCAATAAAGACTTCTATGTAATGTTTAAGTTTGTGTGAGCCATTTAAGAAATTTAATGCAAATTCATGCAAAATTCCGATACTTTAAAATGATACAGTTTGTAATCCTCAGATAATTCACAGATAATTCACTCATATGTAAAGATTACACAAAAAATTCCATTATTTATAACATATCTTAAAATTAATGAAATCTGAGAAGTGTAGTTTTTTCTATATAATTACAGAATTTTGTTCTGATAATTTAATTTTAGTCAATTATGATTTTTATAATTCATAGTTTTAAATCATATTTTTTAAATTCTCTCTATATGATTGTGTGAGTTTAAAGCATTAAGTTTCAACGAGATAACTTTAATCGCAGTTTAAATGTCTTCTCATGTCTCGTAGCTCCTTTTCTAAAAAGAGATGTGAAAGGGAAATCCTGCGATTCAAGTATGTCTATATTGATGATGTCGGACGTAGGTGAATGGGAAAGAAGTCTTGTTTTATGCAGCTATATATAATTAGCGCGAAGGCAGGTATGTGTTACACAGCGTTCATTAGCCAAAATAGCAGACTATAGAGAGGAAATATGAGTAAAAAATCGTTCAACTGCTTCTTACAAATCTAAATAGTTTCCAATGTTCTGATCGGTATGTCGATGGTCAACAGCGTATATCGGTAATGATATTTTACTTTGTCATTTGTTGAAAATTATTGTGGAAGGATACCGTGGTTTAATCGAGCATGTAGATTTGGGGATATGCATTCAAATTTGTCGTTCTGAAATGCATGAATAATTCGGTGTATTCTATTTCAGAAGAGATGTTCTGTTTGAAATTCACTTTTTATAAGTAAAAAAATAAATAAATAATTTTTTACATTGGAATTTTTATATCTAAATATTCTAACGAATTCTTTTGTAAAGGAATGATTTTTCTATAAATGAGATCTTGTAAATCTGATCCCCTAAATGTATATAATAATGTTATATTTTATGCAATGTGTTACTTAACGCAAACGCGAAAAAATTATAGAACGTGTTCAATATATAAAATATATGGAATTATTGTATAAATTTATACTATTTCGTAGTGAACAAATTTGGAGGCATTTAATCAAATCTTATGTAAGATATTACCGTGAGTCGTATGTAGAAAATGGCGATTGTTTGGCGTGACACTTGTATGATAATTCATACCGAACAATCTACATTTGCTCTAAAAACTAAGAAAATATTTACTCTGAGTATAGACATTGACACGCGTATGCCATATTTAGAGTAAATGTTTTCTTCGATTGTTAATGTGAACTGCCGACGGTTGGTACTGCACGTGTTTAGCACCAACTGTGTTTATCGGATTCGCTCGACAATTCTTTTTTTCTTTCTCTGTCTTTCTTTATCTTTCTTTTTTCTCTATTTTCTATTTTTGTATCTCCATATCTCTCTATTACACTCTATTAGAATGCCTGCTTTCTTTTAATTTTTCCACTTCTATAATTTCTTTGTTTTGCCTTCAGCATGTAGTTTGCCCTTTAGCCGCACGAAAACTTGAAATTCACCTCAGTCATCAGAGATTTCACATGACTCTCCTAGAGTCTTGATTTTCTCTAACCGTAACGTTTCATTAGCGGTACGCCTATTTTCTGCGATATCACGAGTAACCGCACACTGTATAGCAAAGTAGTACGGTCGCAACCTTCGTAGTCTGCCGCTGTATTGTCCCACCTGTCATTCGTAACGAATGAACCACTTTTCCTTCTGTGCACATGACTTCTACTTCGATCGCGAAGTCTCGCTCGTATCACACTTCATTTCGCATGCCGTTTCTTTTTTTCACGCACGCAAGCACGCGCACCACGAGCAGTCTTGACTCATTCAGGCCTCGTTTTTAAACCTTCCGCTTACTTTCTACCAGTGACTTAATCCCTCTCGACGACTCACTCTGAACGGGTTACCGACGTTCTTCCTGTCTGGCGTCTTTCTCTTCTTCCTTTCTCTCCGTCTCTCCTTCCTCCGTACGGAGCCTCTGCCGATCTTGTCTGTCTCTGTGCATGAATTGCATATCAAGATCTCTAATATCTGTTATACATGCGTATGTATATGTCTGAAAAATAATACACGCGACACAGTGAGTTCTAATCTGCCATTTCCTCTATAAGAAAGTGTCTTCCTCATCCGCTGCAACTTCTTTTGCATCAATGCACTTTTTATACGTCTAATGTAACGAGGTCTTGGCATGTAATTTGTACAAATTATCCTTAACCCCTAGTTAGCTGTTATTTGAGATATATATTCCTGTACAATCCTGGAGTTGAAGTAGAACTCGAATAATTCATATAACGTATGATTTGTTAAAAATTTTACCGAGAATTGATATTTCTCTCTGTTTCGATATACTTTGATCATTTTGCACGAATGATATTTCCCTTAACGTTTCCTCTGGACGTATACGTCTCACGAGAAAACAATTTTTATTGGCAGAAATAATTAGATTTTTAATCAGCCAATTGTGTCCAATCGTTTCCTTCGACTCCGGAACACTTTTGCCGATACATTGATCCGCTCATCTCATTCCACAATCCCATCTCGTTCCACCCGGCCAACGGTCCCGACGCAACGCTGACAATTACTGACTAAAAAGACTTTTTGATATGGCGTACTGACCGGCTGATGGGCAGGCCGATTCATACGGGATCTGATGGCCGGTCAAATTGATCAGCGCCGATTCTCTCTCGTTGCCGCGATCTTCGTCCACTGCACCGTATACCGTAGCGGCCACAGTTGTATCTTGTTTTCATCGTATTTCTTGGATGCACCTGAAGTAAACGCACGCAGATTAGTCGGCAGACGGATCGGTTTGCAACGATCGTCCGATCGCAAACGACGACCGATCGAGAATCGCTTCACGGAACGCGGATCTGCCGTCGTGTGCGAGTCGAAACCGATTTGTCTGCCAGACAGAGACTTGTATCTCGTAGCCATAGACTCACAGAGATAGACTGCGCATTCTTATGAGAAGGCTAAAGGACCGAGATATGCTGAGACGCTTCCTCTGTCATACACGTACAGTGCTGTAGGAGAGAACGATGTAGGGGGAATAAAAGAAAGAGTAAAGTATAGTAAGAAAAAAGAACACATTGATTATGTATTCACTCCTTGTCCTTTGTTATCCCTTTTAGACGAGGAGAGCATCTGATTGCCCTCTATTGCCTTCTCTTGCTAATGACTCCAGCCCTCCAATGAGCATGCGCGGTCTATCTCCACAAGTCTATTCTCGTAGTATTGTAAATCTCTGGTAATTGGTCCACACGATGTGCAAGCTCGACGTGTCTATAATTAGTGGATTCGCGCAGAAACACGTCAACGTGTATCCCGGGTGGTGACGTTGCGTCGCGAATTACTGCATTGAGAGAGAGCAGTGGTCGAGCTAATGAGACTTCGCATGAACGAAGAAAATTCGTTTCGTTCGAAACAGACACTCAGTCTATTGAACGAATTATATAATTGCTGTAACGAGCTACATGATCAGTAACTATATCAACGCAACTTGTTGCTGCACTAACGCGTAATTCGTTCAGTAGGTATAATATTTCTTTGAGGGCGGATGATTGCCGATTTTGCCGACCCAACTGCTTTCCTTCTCAGTGTAGATACAGATGTGTGCCGTCGAGTGTCCGTTTATGGTTTACTCTGTTGTCACCATTTTGGGTTTTGGCGAATTCACCGTTCGCTGGTGCATATAAGCAGGGTGTCCATATAGAAAATCTGAGCGTCTGCCTGCTCGCGCATTCTCTCCCGTTCTTCCGGACACGTGTCCTTCAATAATAATCGACTGCGTTCAGAGAACACAACGGTTGAACGAATCGGCTTTTGGAAAATGGATCTAACCGGTACAAAGTATATACCACTCGTGGATAATTCTTACGAACGGTTGAATCATCGACTTTTTGAAGATGGACGTGTTATTGATACACCAATCCTGTGGGTACAATTCAACGCTTGTACAACCGTTGCGCTCGTTGAATGCAGGCAATAACGCCACGATTTTCGGCCGAGCGGACGCGCATGGAGCGTATGGACGCCCTGCAGACAAGCCTCGATCATATCACGAGCCGAAGGAGCGCACGTAAAGGATCGTAGCAGCAAGATCGATGGATCTCGATGTATCGTATGTAGCCGCAAGTAGAAATAAGGATATGAGAGAGCACCGTAGTGTCGGGAGCGCTGGAGCTGGACGTGGAGCTGCAATACACACTGCAAATATATTATCCCAAATACAGACATACGAACGATTGTAATTAATATTCCCGTATATACATATATATACAGGGTGGGGAAAAAAGGCCGGTACTCCTGAATAACTCAGAAAATATAAGTTTTATAGAAAAATGTCTCAAACAGAGGTGGTAGGGTGTAAAGACACATACACATACACGAAAGAAATGTAAATTCGATCGAGCAATCTCCGCGTGGTACATCTTGGTTAATGCTAATGCCGGCGGTACTGTAACTTTCATGTTTCATTACTCAGAAAGTATTTAATGAAAAAATACGTTATTATAGTATTTTGGAAAGAGATAAGCTACAAGAATATGCAATAAAAAATAGGGGATTTCATTTAAAAAATTCAAGGTGACCTCGTCCTGACATTGGCGACCCCATCCAAGATCAAACTTATAATCACAAATAATACCAATAAATAGATCTCTTTACACACTACAACTTCTGTCTGAAACATTTTTCTATAAAACTTATATTTTTTTAGTTATTCAGGAGCACCGGCTTTTTTTCCCACCCTGTATATATTTACATTTGTATAGCCATGTCACCCTCCGTCCCGCGCGTCTCGGTAAGCCGAAAGCTGCGTTTCCGGGCGTAAGGGTTACTTTCGGAGGTGTGTGTCTCGGACTGCTATACGCTCGCCGATTAATGCAAGCGTCTGCGATCTTTTCAGCTGGTGGCCGGAAGCGGAAGTAATCAGGACCAATCAGGCGGCGCCGGAAGGACGGAGAGCACACAGGAGGCTGTGCCTGGCCCCGTCACCAGGTTCTTCGTCCTCGCCAACCGAGGGATCTCGAATCTCATCCAGGATCTCATACTCGTGAGTAGTAGCGGGTCAATTCGAAACTTTCACCGCAATCTCCTCCGAACGCTCCTCCTTCGCAGTTTTCAATGTTGCGAGTTTGTGTGTGAGCGCACACAGAGAGAATATTATATCTTCTTTTTTCTCGTATAAATTCCTTTCTATCTTAGTTCTCTAACTAGCTAGTTTTCAGTGCAAAGGAACGGACTCCCAGTGAAAATTCTATACTGAGTCTACACAGAAAAATATAATAAATATGAAAAGGATTTGTCTATAAAAAAAATACTACATATTCTCACCCTGTATACTGAGAGAAAAATGTTTGATACTTGTAACTATAGTTATACAGAGAAATAATTACTATAAATTATCTCCAAGACAATCATTTTTTAGTCAATTGTACTATAATTGTTAGTGATAATAATGTTATATGCATATTACTACTACTATCTTCATGTTAGAATAAGCAAAAAATATGATTGGGATCAAATTAAACCTAAACTACCATACAGCAGAAATGTTCAAAATATATTATTGGGATATCCTAAAGATATCGCAACATCTTTAGAATATCCCCATGATGTATTTTGAACATTTCTGCTGTGTGATCTATATTTTTTTGTTATTTCAACACGACGATAGTAATAATAACATACATATAAGATCACTAAAATTATAGCACTGACTAAAAAATGGTTGTCTTGACAATAATTTATAGTAATTATTTCTCTATATGATTATAGATACAAACACTAAACATTTTTCTTTCAGTATACAGAGAGAAAACGTTGTAGTGTGTTCTTTCATAGAAATTCTTTTAAATTTTATTATATTTTTAGTCCACATACAGGAATAAACTGTCAATATGATTTTTATCTTGCTCAGAAACATAGCAAATTTTCCCGGAAACATAATAAATTTTACTAGAAACATAGCAAGTGTTTTAACAGCATATTTTAGTTTCTAAAATATAAACAGTACATATGAAGAGAGTGAAATAAATTGCTGCAGAATGTCGATATATTGCTCTCGGTTATCAAATCCTATAGTAATTTTTGCTACAAAATTATCTCCGTATAGTTTTGCTAAGGAATATAATAAATCTTTTAATAATACACAGTAAAGAATTTGAGTTAGATTTAAGGAGTTTATTCACACTTGAATCAAAATACTTAAAATTATACAAAATTTAACATAACATTTATCGCAGTAAAACACATTCGTAGTTAAAGTTTCATGCGATTTGTATGTGCACCGTTTATAAAAAATTTAATACTGAATATCATTATTTTGTACATATAGCTTTATGGTAGAAGCAATATAGATCATTATTCCAGTATAATTTCATAAAAAATAATACTAACCAAATACAAACTTTACTGTTACATACGTTAGGAAACGCGGCATAGAAAAAAGAATAGTATTTACCGTTGTTGTATAATGGTTGACTGTAGACTAGAAAACTACTGTTTTATGCTCTGTTTTATGTAGCATTGTACTGAGTGAAATGTAGGCAAGGTGAGTGAACGTGGCAAGGTAATATCATGAAGTTAGTATTAAATTAATATTTATTTGTTTAAATAGTAAAATAAATACATAAATATGTAATTTTGCATGATAAAATAGTGAATTTATGAGTAGTTTTCTTAATGTGTCATTAAAAATATATCCTTTGAGTGTCTTGAAAATACATACGTGGTGAATAAATTCCTTAAAGTATTTTAATATCTCAAAAAGTTCATTAAAATTTTGTTAACTTAACATAAAATTTTGTTTACTTAACATAAAATGAATGTGTTACAGAATAATATAACTATTCCGTCGTTCGATAAATTAGAAGGGATTTTTACAAAAAATTTAAAAGTTTTTATAATTAGATATTAATATATATTGACCGTTTTTTTTATGGCAGAGGATAATTGAAAGAAAACAAAAAATATTAAATTATGGTTATAAAATTATCGGTCAGAAGTTTTTCGTGGAAATTTCTATAAACTTTGATCGAACGGCCCAATATTGTATCACTAATAACACACACATTCACAATGTGTATATATTATTTCTTCATTACTTCTTCATTTCTTCATTTCTTCATTATACTTCTTTATTAAAATTAATATAAATAATATATTAAATTAATATATACATTTTGTTAATTTTTATTAGAATTTACATTTCAAAATTTCATTTTTATGTCATTTGTATACGCAATTATATGTAAAATATATTTTAGAAGTGCTGAATATAAAATAATTCAACAGAAAATAACACAATGAGATAATATGTTAAATTAACGCAAATCCTCTACAATATTATGTAAAAAAGTACATGATGTCATTTAAAAAGTTCAAGGTAGCCTTGATTTTTTTATAAAAAATATTATTTTGTTATTGTAAATTATATCCTGCGAAGTAGTTGAATATTCATCTTTTAACTTTTTCCTTAAACCGTCGGAATTATTTAAAAAATCATGCAAACTGTTACGCTGAACACTTTATATATGTATATTCCTTTATTACAAAATTTTATAATAATTTTTAAATAGAATATTTCGAATTTCGAATTTTATAAATATCCAATATTTCAATAAAATAACATGCAAAAATTAAAGCAAAGTCAATTTGAGTCAATTTGTTTCTCAATTGACCAAACGGCGAACGCGACGCTTAAAGAGTTAAAAGACTACTGAATTCACGACGTTTCTGTTAAAGAACAATTGATTTTAAATTGATAAAAGCGTGACATAATTAGATAAAATTTAATTACTAAGAAATACTCGGACCAATAAAAAAGAGTCAAACAAGATAACAGTTGCAAATGATTATTTTACATAAGGTATTCGCAATTATCATCCTACGTGGTTCTTATTGGCATATTGAATATTTCTTACAAATTGAAGCAAGTTGACAATTGAATAATTTTTTTAGCAATTGAATAGAAGAGATCGCGGGACTGGTTGGCATAAGAAGTAGGTTTGTTTATATCTTGTTTATGTATTTATCGTGAAAGAAGCAATGAATATAAAATCGTAAAATGTTTCTCTTAAAACAAAGGTACTTTTCCGTGAGAGTTTTACTAAAATCGATATAATATTATAATTAAATAATAAAAAAACTGATCCAGTTACGTTTTCGAGTTATTCAATCTTTAACCTCCAGTTACGTTTTCGAGTTATTCAATCTTTAACCTCGTACGAATTCGTCCGTGACATATATATGAAAAAAAATATTGTATATATAACTTTTCCTCGTACAGTTTTTTTATCTTACCGCGTTTACAATAGTAGTGTTGGAATAAATTGTCAGTCGAGTTTATATTGCTAAGAAACGCAGTGAATTTTTTAACAGAAGATTTCACCCAGGTTCTGAAATATAAAACATGTGAAGCGGAAACAAAAATTAAGGCAACATGTCGACATTTTCCCTGTTACTAAATTCTATAACAACTTTTACTACAAAATTCTCTCCGTATATATTTGGAGGCATATATTTTATTTTCTGTTATACATATTGCGTCATGTAAATACATTATCATTAAAATCCCGATTTCCTGCACGATGTTTAATTTTACACATGAATAAAATCATTTATATAACCCAAATTATAATACATACCTGACGCAGTGCATACAACAAAATCGCATGTCACTCAAAGTGTACATGAGAAGAGAATTTTATAATCAAAATTGCCATAGAATTGAAGATATAATACAGTGTGTATTCCGAATACACGAAAATAGAGAAGGGAAAATCGTACGAAGACTTCGTTAATTGAACCTTTCGTCCAGAAATAAATTTCAATCGATAGGCTGTGTCTAAAAATGGATCTCATTGGCGATTAATTATCGCAGTTATTATTACAGCTCAGCACGGTATCCGCAGACACTCGTATGATCGTAATAACCGTTGTCGAAACGCCCCGTCGATTTACTCCATACAAGCTTATAGTTCGTGCCGGACGTCAATTATAGATTTCGAGATTTTAATAGCTCGTCGATTCAGTTTGAAAGTAAGTAGCACCTGGCAACGTGCATTGAGCAATCGCGTCAAAGTCCAGATTATTAATAGACGCTGAACTGTGACCTCGGTGGACAATTGTGTTAGAAATAGATAGACATTTATGAACTGTTTGCGATTCACTTGGTACACCATAAGAATTCAAGCGTGGTATCTGCGTAACCATCGTAACTAATGCGCGCGCTTGTGATTGCGCTTTCTGGCGCGTATTAATTATTCATGTTCCCGTTTTTATGATATCCGCGGAATATCGCGGCCAGCGTTTCAACATTTAAAGGGGGG